TGTTGCAGAGAGAGCAATCAGCATCTGGGAGAGTGTATGTGCGTATGTTAAAGCAGTAGAAGAGAAGAAAATCCCTCACCCAAAGAACAAGTCCTTTGAAACTGTTTCAAAATGTACTCATATAACTGATTTCTTAGCAAGACTGTACTTCTTCATATCTGTTGCAAAGCTGGTCAATCCTTTCCTAACAGACTATCAGACTGATGCACCAATGCTGCCCTTTTTAGCTGAAGACCTTACTAGAATGCTTGCATCCCTTATGCAGCGATTTTTAAAGCTGGACAGGAGTACCATTACTTCTCCTTACAAGATAATGCAGGTAGATGTTAGCAGTGAGGCCATTCAGCTGCCCTTGGCCAAGTTGGACATTGGATTCTACACTGAGAAGAAGCTGAAAGATCTGAAGGCGAAAAATATCATCAGTGAGCTGAAAGTTCTGGAATTTCGCACTCAAGCAAAGAAGTTTCTTGCTGCAATGACCCGGAAGCTCATTGAGCGATGTCCGCTTAAGTATGCACTTGTGAGAAATATAGGATGCTTGAGTCCAAAGAACATGGCAAAAGACAAAGAAAACTCCACTGCAAAGCTGAAGAGGGTGCTTAACACCCTTAGTGATGCCCACAGACTTAAGGATTCATGTGACGATATCCTAAGAGAATACTCAGAAGCATGTGATGAGGCATCAAGAAGTGCAGAGATGAGAGACTTTGATCCAAAGAAAGAGAGATTGGACTCTGTAATGTGCAAATTTCTGTCCGAGTCTCGCTATTCGACCCTCTTAAAGTTGGTCCGCATGTTGCTTGTCTTGTCCCATGGACAAGCCTCCATTGAGAGAGGTTTCTCAATCAACAACGAAGTTGAAGAGGACAATCTCCTGGGACACTCACTGATATCATTGAGGGCCATTTATGACCATATCAAGTATGTTGGAGGAATCAAGAATGTGACTATTGACAAATCAATCATGTTGGCTGCGTCTGCAGGCAGGCAGAAATACCACATCTATCTCGATGAACAGAGGCGTAAAAAGGAAAAGGAAAAGAAAGAAGGAAAGAGAAAAGGACTGATGGATGGTTTGGAAGAACTAAAGGCCAAACAAATGAGACTGCAAGCAGATGTGAAAAGTCTTCACACCTCAGCAGACAAGTATGCTGAGGAAGCAGAGTCACAAGGAAGATTGACTTGTATTTCCAAATCAAACAGCCTCCGACGTACAGCAAAGGAGAAGGCATCCCAGTTACAAGTAATTCAGAAACAGATTGATGAACAGCTGAATGCCATTAAGAATTATTAAAGAACTTGGACAGTTTGTTACCAATGCCACCAAATATTCAGACAGGTGCAATGTGTAGAGGGATTTCTTTCAAACAGCTACATGAAGATGTCTCAAGAAAAAACTCATTCAGAAATTATTGACCAGCTTAATGCTAGCGAAACAAGAATTCATCAGCTGATGTGAGTAGGCCTACTGTGTTTTGTTGGTGAAATCAAAATTGGTGATGGTATGTGTGTGAGTTTGTGTGTTGGTGTTGTTTTGTTTTCTTTTTTTTTGGGGGGGGGGGGGGGTAGTTACCTTGTACATGCAAAGGAGAGCTATTGAAGGAATCATGGTGGTCCATGAAACCAGGAACAGGCAATTTGTATTCTTTAGAAGTGAAAATTGCCATTAAAAAATGGACAATTGTTGATATGAATACATGTATGTGTAATTGTAAGAATATTATATAGCAGTGCATATCGAATATGATGAAAAAATAACATGTAATTGTAACAGATGAAATAACTAGATAACAAAAGCTGCCTTTCTATTAGTAGACTTGAAACATGCACTTTGCTTCGCTTTGATTTGAGATCAAATTTTCAGTCTACCGTGTAAAAAAAATGTGTAAAAGTCATGGAAAGGTCATGGAATTCTGGCTAGAAAAGTCATGGAAAGTCATGGAATTAAATTTATGAGAAAGAGTATGAACCCTGCCCTTTAAAACTCAATAATATATGGGATTGTAGGCCTACACCGTTTTCTTTCCTTGTCATAGAGAAGTTTGTCCCCACAACCAATAATGGGGGGGGGGGGGGACCCCTTTTGATTACATCGATTAAAAATGATGAGGTCTTGTAGGCTAACACAGTTTTATTTCCATGTTGGAGAATTTTGAAGAAGTTTTTCCCCACAACCAAAAATGGGGAAAAAACAAACAAACCCTTTTGATTACGTTGATTAAACATGAGGTCATGGGGTCAAGACCAACACTGAGACATCAAAAACTTGAGACAGGTCTCACCACATCGCTGATAACATCACCTGTTTGCGGAGTTCAGGGAAACGTGATGTATATGATTTTGAAAATTGTTTTTGTCTCAAATAAACTTCAACCATAGAAGAAAGCTTTTGCATACAATATTCATAAATATCCATCTCCGATTGGCACTCCAAAGTAGAGGTTGATATTAGAATCACACTGTTATTTGAATAAGAAAAAGATGTTCCTTTAGATCACTCTTTAGAAATATTATCATCTAAACATTATTCTTTTACCTGACACTAATGTCGTTTGGCAAGACATTGATCTACCTTTACCTTTGTTAATGGGTACTTGGCAGGAATTAATTCTTTGAAATGCTAGAGCACCGTAATGGCAGCAGAGCTAAAGCCAGGGTAATAATCAGGAGCGCCAGGAGTGTCAAGTCTGACAGATATGAGCACCATACAAGAACCCACTATTGTTATTATTTATTATGAAAGAAGCTGATCTTTAAAATTGAGAATCAACCACCAGCCCCTGTACCTCCTGCACAGTTTGGCACAAATTCTCAGCCAAACTTTCCATCATCACAACCTTTTTTTATGATAAGTTTGCAAATAAAATTCCATTGGAATTCTTAATACCATTTGATACCAGTTCCCTAAAGACATCCAGCGTAGAGGCTTGATGAGTGAGGGCATTGTTTTGATAATTTGCTCCACGTAAGGAGATTCTTTTTAAAGATACGCTCCACGTAAGGAGATTTTTGTTAAAGATGCACCTATCAACTTTATAAATGAGAAGCAAATGATCTTACAGAAGATTAGGCATTTCAACTATTCTTTCACCTAAATCAGGAGATTAGATATTAGAAAACAAATACTGGTAGTTTTCAAGGTGCGAAATGACGCTCGTTTTATAGAAATAAATACAAAGTGGTGTGCTGCAAATGTATGCAATATTTAGTGAGCACTTATAGGAAGAATGTTTACTAAATTATAATGAAAGCATTTATATGCTGCGTAGATCTACATGTATCACTAAAAGTGCTCAAGGCACGTATTGTCTTCAACTACAATCTCAATGAGAAGGCTACAGAATAGATGAGAAGGATGGAGATACGAAACAAATTATCATCTTGTGTAGATACAATGTACATCCTAGATAAACAGTCAATTTAGTTTTGAACTGTGGATGGTTAGAAGCATATTGTCTAATTTTTCATATGTGAACAGGTTCATTTTTATCTGCATTGTACATGTATGCAAGTGTGGACAGGTTCATTTTTATCTGCATTGTACATGTATGCAAGTGTGAACAGGTTCATTTTATCTGCATTGTACATGTATGCAAGTGTGAACAGGTTCATTTTATCTGCATTGTACATGTATGCAAGTGTGAACAGGTTAGTTTTATCTGCATTGTAGATGTATGCAAGTATGAACAGCCCTGATCAACCTACTTGATAAGGTTATTATTTGGAGAGGCAATGAATAGAAAGCGATGCCAGAAATAGCTCAGAGCGTCTTTCAACTCGGCAGTAATTTACTGTGTCATCGCGTCATTCTCCTGCAGCCCGCTAGCCTAGAAATAGGAACATGTTGACATTATTTCAATTTATTTTGGCAAATAGGAGGTAGAGGTTACACACAGGCCTCGATATAGATTAAGATATCACTTCTCAGGACTTATTTGTACACCACCTTTACACATTTCAAGATAATTTGATTTCAGGGAAAAATATCTAACAAATTTCGGGGCTACTTTTCAAGCTTGCTTGCATTAAAATAACACTCTTTAATTTGTTATGCATTGGAATCTATGCAAATTTTGGGGGGCTCTTTTCCTCGTTACTTTTGGGGGCTCTTTTTGACATTTCGGGGCTAATTCGGCCCGAGCTCCTGTGTATTTTTTCCTTGTTTGATTTGTATTTTTGTATTCATTTTTATTCAAGGCAGTTTGTTTGCTTACATATTTCTGTAAGTGATGCTATTGTTGCATCTATAGATCGGTCCAAATTTGTTTTCTTTTGTTGGTCGGTTTATGATGTTTACTCGTCTTTTTGTGGTCATTTTCATTACAAAGCAGAGAGACAACATATCCTAGAGCATAGCAGATAGTTTACAAACAATGTTTGTACATGTAATTAGTTTGACATTTGAGTGTCTTCTGTATTGCTGTATAAGGGTTATGCCACTATGCCCCATATTTTCGTAAGTAAATATATATTTTTGGTACAAACTAATGGTCAGTGTTCACTTTGCAAATTTACACCAAAACATTAACTCCAAAACATTGAGCATAAAGCAGTAATAGTTCAACTGTCCATGCACAGTACAGTGACACCTGTCTATAAAGACCACCCAAGGGAGACAAGAAAAGTGGTCTTTATACATGTAGGCAGGTGGTCTTTATGTACAGTTGCCTATAGTACATGTTTCAATGAGAAACAATTTTCAAGGAAAACAAAAAAATGTGGTCTTTGTAGACAGTTGGTCACTAAAGCAGGATTGACTGTATTTTGAAGAAATATTTAGAGTCACGTTTTTCTTGGAGATTAGACCTGTCACTGTCTGATCCTTCGTTAACCAGGCCCCCCTCCCCTAGACTAAACAAATTATTATATGTATATTAACCCTGAATTTGTTGATGAGATTATCAACAGTCCTTTTCAGGCCTCCCCAATCCCTCTCTCACATGGTGCAACCGTAATCATTTTGTATAATATAAGTTCTATTTTTTTTTCTTTCTTTGCAGCTTACAGCTCATTTTGAGGAGCAGGATCCTAACAGAGCGCATGTCGTCAGCAACCATCTACTCGGCGATGGGACCAGTACCTGTGCCAGCTCTGTAGGGACCGCCAGCCCCATCAACTTCTCGGATATGAACCACGTCAACAACAGCAACAACAAGACCCACCACATGCACCACAGCCACCACAGCCCTCACATGAATGGTACATTGGAGGAGGACAATGAGATGGATGTCGTGGTAACGGGGGAGGAGTCAAGTAAGTTACAAGGCTGTCATGTCGTCTCTATGGAGACAGAAAGCATTGAATACTTGAACAAAGAGGGAGTGGCCTTCTGGCTCCGAACAGAGCCATTTACAGAGTTTTGCCAAATTGGTTTCACTGGGTCATTACATGGCGTATATTCTTTTGTTTTATGCTTGCCCAACAAAGCAGTAGTCGCCATATTGTGTCCAACTCGAACCGGGTTGGCCAAACTCTGTGTATAGGTGGCTCTGGCTTTGTACAGATTATACAATGTCAAACTAGAAACTATCAAGTACATGAGCTTTTAGGGGAATATTGTGAGTGGTCTACATTCACCATAGGTTTTACACTGCGGTCATTCCAACGAGAGTGACATAATTACAGGTGGACTGACAAAGGATCAAAAAGAGATTTCATACCTGACAATAAGATGGGTGTGGTGGTAAGAGGGAAGAAGTCAGGTATATTAGGGAATTCTCTTTAATTAAAATACGTGACTAGATTTGATATACATGTACGTATAGGTATACTGTTCCAAATATTGGGGCCCATTATAAATGATGGAGTTCTATAGCTACCAGTTTAATAGTGGAACTACATGTATGTGGATCAATCAAGATATGCATACCGGTACCTGTAGGTTTTCTCACGTCAGACTTGATTATAGAGTCCAAGTACGATGCAATAAAGCCAGGTAGATTTGACAAGCATTACCAGGGCTTACATTACCTTTCATGGAGGAGCGTGCAGCTATCCTGTACTTTAAGAAATACTATAGCCACGTTGGTCAGGGTATAGTGAGCCAGCTCAGCCAGGTAAAGCTTGCAACCTGCGAACTTCATCTCTTCCATCTTTCATGTGGTAGCCATTGTCTTTAAAGGGAACCAAATGGCTAACCCTATACAGCTACATGTACTAGAACAGATCTGGGCTCCGTCTTACAACGAGTTGATATCAATCGCAACTATGTACACTGCAAACTTGCGATTGATTGGAGGACTTGTGATTGATTTGGATCAATCGTATTACGATTGGGGTCCAGATGGGGTCCAGTTCTTAAAAGTTAAAATTCTTCTTCATTTCATATGTTTCCGGCCCAAAGTAACTCAATTCAATTCAATTTGTTATTCTTTCCACAATTCAATTAAAATGACAATGAGAACATCCAAACCAACCTATAAACATAGCATCGCATTAAAGGTATAAAGTTACCAAAAAATAGTTACCGTAAATAGGGGTGCGCCTTATACACAGAGATTTACGGTAGTAAAAAATTATAACAGCTAGAAATTACATAAAATGTTGTTAGATGCCATTTTTGTGTCCCCCCCCCCCCCCCCCAATTTTTTTTTTTTTTTTTTTTTTTTTTTTTTTTTTACTGCTCACTATCACCCCTGAAAATAGAAATAATCAGGAGGGGATGTGCTCGTTGATATACCTCAATAGACAAATACATGTACATGTATCTCTTGCCTTTTTATGCTCATGGTCGTACTCCTGCAAAACACATGCATGTACATTTAGGGCCTACAAATGTATATATGGGCGTTCACGTTGGTTGTAGAACAAGCAATGGGAGTCACTAGTTTCATATTACCAAAAGAATTAATTGAACCAACCACTTTGAGCTAATGATATGTAAACATAATTCAGGAGTCTAAACCAGGATATGAGTATTTATATGCTTGTTTGTTTGGTATTTTGGCAGAATATGTGATTAACTAATTATCATCTGACATCATTTTTTCATCTTGAATTTCCCCAGAAAAATCCCTCACTTTTTGATCTGATGATCACCCTGTAAAATCTGATAATCACCATTTTTATGGTAGTTACTGATTTGAATGGTATTATGCTTGTGTATATTGGTGTTAACTAGTTTTCCCTATGATTTCTGTTTCTAACTTGATGATCTACAATAAACACTCTTTGTTCTTTCTTTTGTATTCTTTTGCACGTTACTCTCAATTTGTTGTTGTTGGTATAAAATCTTACATTTTTAGGCAAAACATGAATTCTTCCTAGATTTGCATACATGCCCTCATGAAAGTGGTGTATAATTAATTCAATTGCATTATTCACTTTTATGGAACATTTTCTCTTTCTCTTTTCGTGAAATGCAGATTCCAAGTTGTTAGTGAGGAGAGGGAGTGACCCTGTCATCACTAGCATGTTAACTAAATCAGATGTGAACGGTGAAAACACAGTCATGGACAAGAATGCCAATACTTTGCCTGCAAAGGTAAGTCCTGTTTAACCCTTGTTTAACATGGGACAGTTTAAACTGCCTAAAAAGAAATAAACAAAGCAGCAAAATAAAAGCGAACTTGGCAAAAGGAGCTCTTTGCATTTCTGTTTATTATAATAAAGCTAAAGTTGTACATACCTGTACCCGAGTAGAACAACATGCAGAACAAAAAAGTGCATTTACCCCAACTGGCAAAAACATCTGTAAGTTTTTTTCTTTGTATGTGTTTATGGGAATTTGTTTTTAGGCAGTTGTGTAATTGGGTTTTTACAGACGTGGATCAATCAGACATTTATAACCATTTATGTCTGGGGACCAACCTTAAACGTCACCATCCAAAAAAATTACTCAGTATCAAACCGGGGTCCATTGTAGCCAGTTTGTAGGTGAAGACAGAGAGCTGACCAAGTAAATGTACCGCTAGACCAACTCACATCTCCATTTAATTGAGTCATGTCTATAGGATGCTGCAGGTGTTCTTCTAGCGCAAATATCGTGATTATGCATGAGCAAATAGGCAATTTGGGCCAAAAATCATCTCTACAGACTATTTTATACAGATTAAGCATGCATTCCAGTTGATCCAAATTTGGCGTTTCCACTTCCCCAGCTTTAATCTAAAAGAAATCTCTCAGGATTAAAAATTTCCCATTTATAACTTCTACCAATTGTTCCGGATCTTAAACTATTGGTAATATACATAATTATGTAAATGTATCTGCATGGGCATTCATTAAGTTGGTGAATGGGAGATCCAATAAACCGCCACAATAATGGGTAAAACTTGGTCGTTTTCCGTTAATATTTGGCTGTTTTGGATGATTGTGTGTTGTGTGAGATGTAAGGGGGTGAATATTATTGAATAATGTAGAACCCTCTCATTGAAATTCAATAGACATGATTCTCCAATAATATAAAGGTGTAAAGGTGCACTTGAAACCGTACACAATTTTATATGCTTCATTGGCATACATGTACATCATGGCAGCTTTCTTGTAGCTTGGTTCGGACTTGAGAAATTAATATTATAAATTACAACTAGCAAACAACAGCAGTTGATTTAAGAATTCTCTTGTGGCCTGAGGCATTGATAAATTACATTTTAATATCTCTTAATAATCTGTGAGACAACTGGAAGTGACCTCGTTGCCTGACTGTAAAAGGCAGAGTGCCGTAATGTATGCTAGTGTTATCACCTTGTGTTATTATGGGGTACACACATTTTAAACTGGAGGCTGATGGAATATCTTTTCTCTACCATTTTTTGTGGGTAATCCTCAGAAACAATGGTTTCCACTCTTTGACTTCTACAAGTAAGTTTTCTGGAATATAAATGTACATGAATGGGACTACTACCAATTCAGTTTGATTGTATCTCTGTATTTTAGTATACATACAGTGCAGCTCTAATGATCAATAATCAGTGTTTGACATAACATAATACTATCCTTAGAAACTAATCGTTCACAGAAACAACTTGCCACTTTAACTTCCCTATAAAGACTGCCTTTTTGGTCTTCCTCAAAGAGTCTTTATAATGTAGTGGCCTACAGGTATCTATCGCTGTAAATTGTAATTGGAACTTTAGTGTAACTCATTCGAGAATACAGGTTGCCGTTTATTTTTAAGGAGCTTCCCAGGTCGAGATCGAGGGAGAGAGAGAGAGAGAATTTGAAATGGGAACTGTGATGAACATTTGATAACAGTACCTTGCTTTAGTGTAGGTGTACCTGTACTTTTTTATTGTCATGGAAACTCACCCTCTAGTACTGTACATGCTGTAATAAAATTTGATGAGCATGGACCCAGGCAAATGGGTTTAGACTACAATAGTATAGTACTAGCTTGCTTTAAGAGCTCGCTTTCTATTCATTTGCCTACTACTCAACCAGATTTTTCCCTATTCATTTGTCACGTACAGGTACATGTACATGTAGTCATGTATCATATGTTGTCTTGAACATTTAGAGTAAAGCTTTCTTCCATTCTGTGAGAATGTATTTTCCATCATTACCAAACATCCAAATTACATTGTAGCCTGAACTAGTCATTTTTTTCAGGCAATGTGAATGGACATGCTGAAAGACTGTAGAGGTGTTGGAGACCTAGCAGGTTTAGTGCAATGGAAGCATGTGCATCAGTTTATCCTCACTCCTTCCCTTGCCCCTCAGGAATTTAGATAGACAGGTGGGAATGAGGGGTGTGATGATATCTCGCTTGTCTTCATTCAAGGCACATACATTTATTTCTCAAGCTGATTGCCATCAGGGTTCGACAATTCAGTAATCCTTATACAGGTGTCAGCCCTATACCAGGGCTTAAATTAATCCAAGGCCACCAAGGCCATGGACGTGGATCCCTTTTTTGATTGGCCTCAATGCCTCTCTCATTGGCCTTGGAGATTTTTGTGCCCTTTCCATTTGTGCTGTAATATAGGAATGTGCCCTACAGAAAAGTGGCCTTGCCCTAAAAATATTGAAATTTAAGGCCTGCTATACACTTACACAAATACATTTAGCGAATCCAAGTTATACATTACCATACTTTCCTGGTTTTATCTAATATTTTAGCACACTTACGTTAATCATTCTAAAAGACGGGGAAGCATTTGTGTATGAATCCATGACCCCCGACCCTCAGTCGTGAGGATGGGAGAAAAAGGAACAAATTATTCTACAAGTTTATTGCCCAATAGGCCAGTTTCGGCGGTTACGTAACGCGCGGTTACTGTAACCAAGCCCGGCAAGCTTTGTCAAACCGCCATTTTGAATGTGTGCGTTGTGTATTAGACTGTCGGTTATTGCCGTTAAATTTCATTCATATCTTTCTATCAAAACTGCGTGTATATATATGAATTTCTGTTTTGGCCAGAAAAGTCTTCCAACTTGACATTCATCAAGCTGAGTTTCAGGCAGCTGCAATATTTTCTTAGCAAAAGAGGAGTTTCGAGCACGGTATACACCCGAGAACAGACTCGTTAAATTAGCGTCCGCAGTAGCGGACTAGCCTGCCCGTAGCCCCTGACCTACGGCTACGGGGCCCGTGTCACTCGGTAGACGTGACTGTGTGGGGGGAATTACAACGGGCAGGAGTTTCGTTAAGTGAACTAGTTACATACCTCCCTTAAGTTTGACGATATTCCTGACTTTGGGACCTATGACGTATTCAATTATCTAGTAGAGAATATATGGCGGACTATGCATTTATGATCGTCGAAAACTGAAGGCTTTTACGAGTTTTGAAGACATTCGATTAATATTTTCCGATGGCCATGTGGAGCTGAAGCTCGAGTACACTCCCCCCCCCCTCCAGCTAGCTCTCAGCAGCTCATGATAGCGACTCGTGTGGTTCTAGACAACAGGCCACACCGACGCAAAAAGACAGAACATACCAACTTCAACAAAAAGAAGAAAAAAATATAAACAAAAAGTAATAGAAAATGTAATAACAAATTATTTTTAAAATGTTTTTTTATAAATAATAATAATTGCTTCTTGAATAACGAAGGTCCGGCATAATTATAATACTGTTAACTTTGTTATGATAATCAAACTTAATTCCTAATCTTATTTTAAACAATAAAATTATTCATCATCCTGATTCTTCTTCCTTGCCACCATAAGTGTTTTTTATATTACTTTTAGGGATCTATTCCTTTTTTCCATTATTGCTCTCATTATTTATTAATCTTTGCTTCACACATTCTTCTTCCTTGTTCATTGTTTTTCTTCATTTTTTCTGTTCAAAATTATTTGTTTATCAATATTCAACGTTCTTATTCTAGCTCTCTGTCATGGCCATGGGGCGACATTATTTTATAAATATTATTTTATTAATTATATAGTGCCATCATTATTACCTTTATTATCATTATTTCTCGTTACTTTTGTTAATACTATTGATTCTGTAGTCACTGTGCTTGCTTCTCGTTAGCCATTTCTCGTCCGCCTTGAAATAGTTCGTATCGAGGCGTTTCACAAACATTTTTTAATCCGTAAATTTGTTTTTATTATGAAAATGTGAATCGCGCCTACACGAACACAAACGCGTGGTACGCGCGCACGCACGTTCCTCCGCCAGCATAGAAGTGACTGTGTGTGCGAACGAGTGGAAAATAGTTCATCACTTATCTTTCATTTCTACGTCCAAATTTGTACTCAGTTTCAAGCTAAGGTAAATGCAACATTGAATGGGAATTGCCAATATCGGCTAACTGATATTTTGGTTCCTTTCTTTCTGTTTCATTACTCACTTTCGAGCCAATGTCGCATGTATCATCGACCTTGTTTTTCTTCTTTTTGAGGGGGTGTCGTGCGCTGCCTGGCCGAACAGGTTTGACTGCAAGATGTGAATCGCTAGTTCTGTAACAGCAATGCTTTCCCATTATTCTTGCCTAAGACTCAGCGATTTTAAAGATCAAATGTATGAAGAACAAAATCACATCTCAAAGCTATTTATTATTCAAGTTTGAATCTGCCTCCTTTTTCTTTTCTCTCTCTCAAAATAGCGAAAACAAACGATGCAATCACACCAAGCGAACAGTCATGTATTGTATGCACACAAAGTGTAGGCTGCTACGCACTGCGAGTTCATTGTTTGTCCGACCCTCCGATTACGTAATGCGATTTAAAGGTCTCTGAATACATTACGAAACTGGCCTATTAGCAGATAAAATATCTAGGATAATAATACATGTACATGTACTTTTAATGCCAATGATCTTAATTTCCTAATACTAGTACCAAAATATCTTAGAACTGCCCAAGTACATATGTACACAAAAGAAGGGACTTTTCTATTACATGAAAGTCATTACTGAGTCGCAAATGATTTTTTCAAATCAGTTATCACCACATCAAAATGTGAATGATTCACGTAAAAATGAAAATGAAATTTTGGATACAAATTTCTCTTATATTTCCTAAAAATCATTAATTGCAGGAGCTACATGTAGGTTTTCATTTCATTTTGATTATTCAAAAATAAAAATCATA